TAAATATATTATAGTCCTTATATTAAATATTATACTATAATTATAATTGTAAGGAAAATATTTTTACAAAAGAAAAAGTAGTACAATTTTAATTTAGTGAAATTAAGTTAAGAAGACGCTGACCTCACATGTGTTGACACCATCATGCGTACAACATAGCAAAATAACTTCATGGAACCAATTGTGTATTGCAAAATTTAATATAAAACTAAAATTAACCTACTATTAAAGTTAAAGGTAAAAACATTATCTGTGTTTAAGCATTAGCTTTTTTAAATATTTAAATATTTAAGTATTATAAATAATATAAGGTTAAAAATGTTTATTTCTAGCTTAAAAAATAAAAATATTGAAAAAATCTAATGCTTAAATATATATATTCTTACTTTTAACTTTGATGATAGATCAATTCACTAAAATATTAACAACACAAAATGTATTCTATAGTATGTAAATGCACTATGTTGTATGTTAATAAAACCAGAATAGTTTAACTCAGTAGTTCCCAACCTCTTCTATTCTACGCACCTTCTTATAAATTGAAAAAAATCGATCACCTTTTTTTGTGTACTTTAGAAATAAATTATGCAATATTTAGAATGACTATTTTTTTTTGATAATATATCGGTTATCCATAATTGATATCAAGTAACGAACATAGAGAAATGTTCAACTAATGTTTTTTCTCTGCGTTTTAAAATAAAAATTATATTTTTTAATAACTATTTGTGCCTCCCCAGCAATGTGTACACGCCTCCCAGTTTGGGAACCATTGGTTTAACTGAATACTGTTTATATTTTTTTCTTAAGGAAATAATACAACATATTGTAAACAAATTTGTAATCATAATTTAGTTATGTTTCATAAATTATAAATTATAATGATTATTAATTAAATATTACCAATCTTTTATTGATTCTCCTTTTTTTAATAGTTCAATATCTCGAGGATGAAAATATGAAGAGTCTCTCCAAGCTACCAATGATAATATAACCCTACGGCCATATTCATTAGTTGCAATTGTATCGATATTATTTAAAATTTCAGGAATAATTGTCTGAAACCATATATAACAATTGTGTTTAGTATAAAAGGTGTTCATTGATTCCATAAATATTATTTTAAGACTTTTAAAAATGTCAGTTTTTACCTTCTTTACTAGTACTGTATCATCAACAGAATCAAAAAGAGTCAATAAAATTAAATATCCATATTCTGATGTAGCCAAATCACGTGTAGAAGCAGTAGTCTTAATTTGTTTCAATATGGCCTTTTTTTCCTAAATATAACATTACAATTAATAATCTATAAGAATCATATTTTTTTAAATGTATTTTACCTTAGAGTTTGCAGACCATATTATGTACATAGCAAGATAACAACCACTTTTAGATGTATAAAATAATTCTATAGGAAATTCTTTAAGTGAAGTAAATAGTTCATCACAGTCCTTTCCACAAGTATATAAAATGTATTCATATATTAAATTATGAACTAATGATGTCTGCATAGAAGTCTTTTGTCTAAAATTATAAAAATAGCATTAATAAATAGTTATATTAGATCCCTTGAGTGTGTTTAGTTAAAATCAGTTAAATAATATCATAAACATAAAATAAATATTGTAGTTTAAAGATAAATATTAATTAATTGACCTTAACTATAAATTATAAATATAAGTTCCTAGAATATAGAAAAATGTATTTAATAATTATTTTTGATAATTACTTTAAAACAAATTTCTTTATGTGATCTTTTGTCTTTGCAAGTATAATATCCTTTGTATTAGGTGAATTTTTTAACACGTCAGCAAATGATAATACATTGGGCGATTCACACAAGATACTAGATGCACCATACAACTCGTGCATCATTGTATTCTGCTGCTCAGGAGTGGCATAAGTTGTATAAATCAAATCCATGATCTTAGCAGAGTTCTGACGAATCACAGTTTTTTTAAATTAAAATATTTTCAAGATCATTTATTTCTTACATGTATACTTACTGTATGTAACGTAAATGAATACACTTTTCCTTTCAAAGAATCAATTATAATTTTACGTTGTTCTGCATCACCTTGTTTCAACATATTTTTTACACATAGACAAGCATACTTAGATAGTAACATTTTTGGAACATGTTTTATTAGTTCATTTATAACTTGTGAACGAATTTCTGGTGTCCCTAATTTCAACATCCATTGAACTATACGAGCAGTGTCATGTGAATAAACCATCTACAGAATAACATAAACTTCTATTAAATCTTATACTTAAATTAAAAATACATTTATTTTACTGTTTCTAAATGAGATTTGGTGGATTTAAAAAGTTCATCCAATAGGGATTCTTTTTTTTCTTTAGGACAATCATCACGTCGCACACTTTCCCAAAGCTTTTTAGCTTTCACAACAGCTTCATAAAATGGACATTTTTGTGTTTTGCGCTTAACTCGAAGCTCTTGTTTTTCTTTCTTAAACTCTTTCCAATTAGGTTTTTCAGTAGGCTTATCATCTATAATAATAACAATAATAATAAAACATGTAAAATTAAAAAAATAACACTGAAATATACTCACTATTTACAGTATTTGATTTTCCTTTAGTTTTTTTGGATGATTTATTCTCTTTGTCAGTTTTTGGTGCTTTTTTCTTGATAGCTTGAGTTTTTATTTCTTCAACATGATCAGCATTATCTAATTCTTCAAATCCAGATTCAATTGTTTCCGCATCTTCAGATGTTAATGATTTAGTATAGTCAATCGAATCTTCAGTAACTAGTTTTTGCTTTTTTTTAGTACTATTTTTGGTAGATGAAGTTCGTTTCATAGTCATTGTATTTCAAACTCTAAAAAATAATTAATTATTAATTAAAATCTTAAAAATTAATAAAAATGTATTTTTTTGATTTTTTTTTAAATTTTTTGTCTAAACCAGTGGTCTCAAACATACAGCCAGCGGGCCACTTGTGGCCCACGAACCCCTTCTATGTGGCCCGCAATAAAAATACATTTTGAACAAAAATATGAAAATAGTACAGCTCAAAAATAAAAATTATCAAATATTCAAGCTATTTTTAAATTTTAATTATAATTTTATTTTAAGTTAACGATCATTATATTTTTTCAATGATAATTTTGTAGTAATAAAAAGTAAATAAATGGATTTTGTATGTATTTTTGTCTTCATTTTGTCTTTAGTTTCTAGTGTATAAGTATAAAAGTGACACTTAAAATTTGGCCCGCAAATTTTTTTTGAAAAAATATATGGCCCATAGGTAATTTGAGTTTGAGATCACTGGTCTAAACAAATATAAGTTAGAATCGGTCTACAATCATTTATGTAGACAGCACCAAATTATATTAAGTATTATATACTTTTGCTGAAAAACTTGTTGAAGATGCGTTTTATAGCAAAACAATTTAATATATAAAGCTCTTAATAATGCAAACTAGCAATCTTTGTAGACTTAATTTAAGAATTTAAAATGGTAAATCATAATAAGCTAATTACAACTCTATTTAATTTTTAAATTAAAATGAACAAGTAGTAATGTAAAAGATAGATACAAAATATAATTAAAATTAATGTAGTATTTGGACAAAAATCATATGACCTTGGTTCATTAATTTTCATATAGTCAAGTGTTTGAAATTTTTTAGCATGCTATGTTCCTAAAGTGAACTATCACTTTTTGCGCACTGTAAATTGTATTACTGACAAGTCAAGAACCATTTGATCATTACTAAAACTGGAAATATGGTGGGAAATGTGCAGTAATGTTAAAAAATAAAAATTGATCAACCAACTGATTATTCTTTTTTTTGGTATAAAGTATAGATAATAATTTAATAGTAAAATAAACTGAAAAATTATTTTTAGAAACTTCATGTAATCTGTTTATAAAAAACAATGATTGAATTCAAAAATGGAGATTTCTAAATTATCATTAAAGACAAAAAAATGTTTGGTTTAAAAAATTATGTGACCAATAATTCAATTATGATTTTACAATAAATACTTATTTCATAGCTATATGGTATTTTAAAATACAAAATAATTAACTATGTCACTAACTAATTTAGTTTATATAATAAATTAATGACGCCATCTTAATATATCAGTGTATTCATAGTTAATGCAAAATACAAAAAAAGTTGATACAAATAAATAAATTAAGTCAATTATCAGAAACGCTGTTGAAATATAAGTCGTTTTAATTAATTCAAACAATTTTATTTGATAAATCAAGTCTAGTAAAAAGATCTTTAACAAATACTTAATAAATAAATCAAATGAACAAACAATTACATGGATTGAAATAGTATTCAGCTGGATACTAAATAGGCAATTCACCCTGCTGTGTATATAGGTATAATATAAATGCAAGACCCAATGTAAATAAAATTATGATAAACAGCAATAAAAAAAGCATTTAAACACGGACATGAAAGTATTATAATGAGCTCGCAACAAAATACTACAGTGCCTTTTAAATACTAACAATGTTCCAATAGTTAGATCATACCTATATAGATTGTAAACATTTACAAATATCTACAAGTAGAACATTTTAAAACCTAAAGTTTATCAAAATTAAAAACTGTTGATAGAACTAATGAACGCAAATTCATTCGGTACTTACATGAAAATCGAAGCGTAGTTTGGTATGAAACCGTATAATCTAGTGATAAAACAATGTTAAGTTCAAGAAATGCAGTATTATAGCAATAAAAATTTATATTTTCTTGAATCAACAAAGTCGACCATGTGGATATGGTTAAAGAATGAGAAAAGGAGACGGGCACAAGCACGTTTTGTGACGTTTTGTCGTTTCGTTTTCGTGGTTATCATGAAAATAGCTTGATAAGAACTCGTGATAATGATTCTGTTAACAGTTAATACTACCAATCGAATTGGTCGCGGTTACGTGGTCGAACTCTGTTGATTACTACAAAAGTATTATTATTATTAACAAATACGTCACTTCGTATACCTACCAACCTCGTTATCATGTCTATCGCTCATCGCTGAAACGCACCGAGTCATTCGGAATTTGTAGACTGCCTACTGCATAGTGCCTATTGCTTAGCTATTTTTATTTTTGACAAAATGTTACACGCTAATAAACTGTTATAATAACGATACAATTCTCATATAATTGTGCAACAACGTACGAAATTCGAACGATATCCAGGCATTATATTGTTGTAATAAATTGTTCTAGTTTCAGTGAGAAAGATTGCAAGTAACCCATCGTGTAAGGTATGTTGGATTTAATTTTATACGTGTTCACATGCCGTGTAAAAGACACCTCATTATGTTAATGTATTTGTTAAGCTTGATTTCATTGCATAGGTACACATCGTTTTGTCTGTCATTTTTTAAAAGATTTCGGTTTTCCAAGTATCCTTTTTCTTAGGTTTAAAATGTGTATTTAAAATAGCAATCTGAGATCATTGGTTAGATTTAGTTCAAAAGGTAAAGCCATTTAAAGGTTTTGTCATAAGCCTAGGTATGTTGTTAAGATACTTTTAAATATACTAGATCTCGTCATGGTCTCCTATGTCATAGATTCCCAACTAGGGTGCCGCAAACTTTATTTAGGGTTCCGTAAAATTATTTGAAATATATTTATAAAGAAAAACGATTTCATGAAAATAATAATAAAATAAAATAAAATATTTGTATATACTATATACCAACGTCTTTCTACTTTTGTTTATACTTATGCACTGCTGAATAAAACCGAAGTAGTCTATAGGCCCTATAGACTACTAAACCTAACCCTATACTATGGGGTGCCTCCGGATTTTTAGAAAATAATTAAGGGTGCCGTGAGTCAAAAAAGGTTGGGAACCTCTGTCCTATGTATTAACAGAATTGGTGATGAAATATTTTTGTTTTTATATTAGTATGTCTTTGACGTGTAGGGAGACTTTAGATAAACAAGTGGCCCTTCAGTTTTTAACATTCATGCCTCAGTAGATTTTTTGAAAAATGTGCGGTATTGCTGTTAGTTAACATACTCAAGATTCTATAGATACCTTTCACTAGTTCATAGGTAGAACCATAAATTGTATAGATACAATTTACCTTAGTAATATTTTTCACTACATCTAAATTACAGTTTAAATGTTTGGAAATAAACCAATAATGGGTTACAAATAGAAGTACCTATTTAAATTACTGAAGAATAATATTGCAAAGTTGTCATTTAACTAAACTGTACAGCTGTACTGTAAAATATACAAATATTACGTGACATAACTTTTACTGAAAATTTCAATAACCTATAGCTTTCATTACATAAAATGTTTTAATACCTTTAAGTTCTTTATAGTAGGGTTTGCAAATTTATGGCACGTTTACCTAAGGTACCATGTTAAATTAATTTTAATTGTACTCTAAAAAATTTTTATTTTTATTTTTTAAATATTATATTTAATTAAATCAGTTAACAATATAAATATGATTAATATATAAAGTTTCTCGAATACAAGGTTTTTAAAATATTTTTAACAAATTTCACCTTTTCTCTCCTAGATCAACTGAAAAAAAAATTATTTTTATACATATTTACATACAGAAACTAGTGGTACAACCAGAAATATCTTAAAAAGTTAAAAAAAACTTCATAATTATAAAAAATAAAAATATTAAATTAATTTCAATTGTGATAATATCATTAAACAATATTTTTTAATAAAACCTAAAACAATTTTTTACTTTATATGAAGACTCAAAGGGGGCTGAACCTCCCCTTTAATTGCACCGCTGACTAAAATTATTATTATTTTTTTTAATTAATAACAAATGCATAACCATAATGCTAAATAATAATATATAAAAATTAATATTAAATAAATGTACATTTTATAATCAATTCATAATGTATTAATATTTTATATTTCTGTTAATTTTACCAAAAACTAGATATAATTATTTTTCATCTTTTTTGATCATATTGTAAACTTATATTAGATTCATAGTACCTACATACTACGTATGTCACAAAATATACAACTATGTACATAGATGTATGTATTCTTTAAGTCAGATTAAATTAATGTAGTATAGTATACAAAAATACTAAAATGATAAAATATTTTTATTAACCTAAATGTTAATAAACAATGAATATTTTCAATACTATAAATACTTGATTCATTAAATTTAAAAATATAACTAAATTAATTAAAAGTTTACTAAATTTAATATACTATTTAAGTACTTAACAAATATAACACCTAATATATTATTTGTATTTATTTTTACAAGATGGAAGACAAAAAAAAGTTGGCTCTGCTTATTGTAAATCATTTAAAAAGCCAACTAAGTAATGGTAGCTTCAATGATGAATCATTGGAAAGTATGGAAGTAGCAGTTCAGTGCATTGAGTCAGCGTATAATTTAAATCCTACTGAATCAAATGATGTTGACGCTAAGTTGGAAAACATTGTGAATGAATATTATAAAGTTAAAGATCAAAAAGTAAATAATTTATTATTTATTTTATATTTGAGATAAAATTAACACAATTCATTAATTGAAACATTGTCTTACATTATATTTATCATAAATACATTATTCATATAATAATATATAGCTTATGTCTATATATAATTAAAATTTATCATAGTTATATTAATTTGATATTTTTTTTACTTTTATAAACTATAATTTGTTTTATTTATATTTATTTATTGAGGAATAATTATTAAAAATGTATTATTTTGTTTTAGACAAACCTTAAGCGTGAAATAAGTCAAGCTCATAAAGATGAAGCTGAAAATTATAAGAAATATGGAAATGATTACATGAAAATTCAAGATAATGACAAGGCTATAGATGCTTACACTATGTATGTTAAAATAATAAATTATTAAACTTCATTATTAATGTTTTAAAATATTGAGTATATAGAGTATATTGTATTAATAATAGAAAGTATTTTGTAGTTTAAAAATATTGTAATTTTTCATTTTTAATAATTTTTTAGAAATTTTTTGTCTTTGGGAACATGCTTGAGTAATTATTTATTAGCGTATTTTTAATATATTATAAATTATTTTCTGAATGTTTCATACTCCATTAAGTAATGTTATACTCTATTCCATTTAATAAGTTAACTTATTTTCGCACATATATACTGAGTTGCCGAAACATTCAAACTTTTGTTGGTAACAGACATTACAACTTCTTATTGACAGTAATGTTTACGGGAAAAATGTGAAAACAACCAATTTTTATCAGTGGAGTGGGTAAACTTAAATATAATTAAATATATCACTTATTAATTATCATACTACTATATAATGTTCAAAATTATTTTTTTAATTTTTGATTTGTATATTATATTATAATTTAAAGTAAATTAATTTGTAAATGATAATTAAAATACTTAAATATAGAATAAGAAACAAATATTTTATAATTTATAGTATAAATAATACACTCTTAAGTTTAATACAATTTTATTAAAAATTATACTATCAAGAGAAAAAAATTAACCTTCCTTTATTTATGTAGACTATGTAGTCTGATATGTGGTGACACTAAAGATTAAATATTATCTTATACTTTACGATTTAAATTTTATTTTAAGTTTCATATTAGTAAATAATTAATTTTAAAATATAAAGAAAATAATAAAACATTATACATAAAAAATAAATAATTAAATATCTATAACTAATATTTTTTATGTACAAATAATAATTTAATACTTTTTAACTATTCTTCAAATAAAAGTATATAATTTTTGTGTATGATGCAAAACTTCTAAGTAACATTAAATTTATTTCATATTTTTTTTAATTACTTGCAATTATTTTATTAATATTAATTTCAATTTCAGATCGATCAAATTAAATCCATTCAATCCAATTTATTATTGCAATAGAGCTGCTGCCTTTAATGCTATCGGCAAGTACACGAATGCTATTGAGGATTGCCAAAAAGCAATTGAACTTGATCCAACATATTGCAAAGCATATTGCCGTTTGGGGTGATTATAATAATAGTTTTTAATATTTCATTTTAGCTTATTACACATAATAACATTTGTTGAACATTTATTTTAATAACTAAATAAAATGCTAAAAACCATAAATAATTTAACTTTATTATTATTAACATGTTTTATCATTAATAACACTCATATTTGTTAGATTACTAGAAAGGTAATTAAATGGAATAATTTTTAGTATGTTGTATATCAATTAGAATAATCAAGTAACTTATGTTTAAAAAAAAAAAAATAGCCAATTTTAAAATCTAAAACTTTAAAAGTTTTGGTTATAATTACATGAATTTAATTATACATCTGAATTAAAAAAAAATTGTTTGATTGTTTTATAAAAATTAAAAACGTATTCGTTTTCTTAATTTATCTTTAAAGTTTTTCTTTTCCTTTCTTTACTTATTTATGTAAAATACAGTACAATTAAATTACTATCACAGAAATAAAATGTTATTTATAACTACCTATTCTATATAGCTATCAAAACTAATATTGTTTTTCAAGTAAAATTATTAAAAAAAAAGCACTACTCTACATTAGAAAATATGATACTAGCTACTACTATAATTTTTAATACAATTTAGTCATTTTTTTTTTTCTATAAAAATTCAAAGTAATTTTAATTATTAAAAATGTATTACATATTGAATTTAAAATAATCCCTAAATTATCTATTATGTATATTTGTAGTATAGGTTTCTAATTTTTAAATTTAATTGTATTTTTGAGTTATTATTTAAATATAAAAATACTTATATCACATAATATTATAATAATTGTTATCAATATTTTTTGTCTTGCCAAGAAAAATTTTTCATGAAATTTACTTTATTTTTATAGATTAGCTTTTTCTTACATGAAAGATTATCACAAAGCAGTTTCATGTTACAAAAAAGCATGTGAATTAGATCCTGAAAATCAGGGTTATCAACGGAACTATCAACTTACCTTGAATAACTTGCAGCAAACAAATTCTGGAACACAATCACAAATGCCAAATGACCCTCCTACTATGGCAACTCCAAATTTAATGGAAACTGCTGCACGTATTATGTCTGATAATCCAGAAGTTTCTTCAGTGTATGCTATTATTTTTACAAGATTATTTTATTATTAGCCAAAAGCTGAAATTTAAGAAATGAAAATCATTAGTCATTACTATGTTTTTTTTTTTTTTTTAGAATAAACAACATTTTGGGAGATGTAACTAATTCTGGCAGTGAAGGACTAGATAGACTGATGCAAGTGTGAGTATTTTTTTAAATATTTTAAATAAATATGTATATTTATTGTTATAAGTTATGACGATATTATATTTTATATACTATAAAATATTTAGATACAAATTCTGTTTTAAAAAAATTTTAAAACTAAAAATAATTAATTTAAAATAAACTTAATTTAACTCAATTTATGTTCTTATAATTATTATTTGTTTTATAGTGGACAAAGTATAGTTACTCGTTTACAATCAGCCAATCCTAACCTGTTAGATGGATTACGAATGCAATTTCAGAATGCTCAAAATGAAGGACAACCACCACCACACAATGGATACCATGATGATGAAACTCAACCTTAAACTAACAAAATATAAGTTTTTATAACTTAAAATATTTTCTTTATTCATAAATATTGATATATAATTATTAATGATTACTTTTTTTATAAATTAAATTAATTTAATCGGTGTTATTTAATAATTGTTAGTCGGTTAGAAGTTGTCAAACATAAAAACAGTAGTTGATCTCACTCACCATTAGGCAATACTGTACAAAATAACCATATCTACTGTCAAAATATTCAAAAATTATTTGCTATTTTTTTATTTTATCATAAATCATATTTATTCATTTGATTTTTACCAGTCATTTTTAATTTACTATAAAGTAATGTTACATTTAAACACGTGCACTTTTGATGCTTAAATGGTGATGAATTTTGACGACTACACATATGTTTGACAACAACTATAGTTGTTTGAAGTACAGTATCAACTATCAATTTAATAATATTAGACATGGTTTTTATAGTAAATTAAATTTAAGTAAAACTAAAAATTATGTCTACATATTCTTTTTAAATATTTTCATTTTAATAATAATGACTATTTATTTGTTTAATAGCGCCCTTATTTGAATTATAACTGTTTTTATTCTTTATCAAATGTTATCATCTCTCCCACACCCCTCATAAATATTAAACTATTGATATTCTATATACATGTTTTGTTTGATTCTTAGTAACATTTAACACATATTCAGTGTCTAATGTTTGTAATATTTTAAAATTCAAATAAAATAATGTTAATTTAACGATATTATAATATTTTATTTATTATGACTCTAAAATCTATTTGGATTGACTTCTGTGAAAATGGCTCAATACATGGTTTGAGACACATTATTCAGAAAGATGAGAAACCATGGATGAGGTATCAAATTAATAATACTGATGTGACATATATTAGGTAACTTATATTTTTAACAGTTTTTAATTGTCTACACAGATTGCTATGGGTACTGTTATTGATTATCGCTAGCATTGCTATAGTGGTTTTGGTTTCAGCGTCTTGGGAGAAGTATTCATACTCTTCAATGGAAATCATTGTTGATGATCCTCGTTATCCACTCATCAAGATTGATTTTCCTGCAGTTACTATTTGTCCTATCAGTAAAATTGTATACTCAAAGGCTCTCAATTTAGTGCTTAAGTATATACAATTATTTTTGTTCAATTCCTTAATATTGTTCTATGCACATTTAAAATATGAATTATGTTTACCATATAAAACTGGTTAATAGTTTATTTCGGTTGATAAAATACAAATTTAGATTAAAGTCGTGGAGAAATTATGTAATTAATATAATTTCAAATGCTTAAGTTAAAATTGGAGTGTATCGATTGGTATTTTAATTATGCTTTTTATTTGTTTAGAAAAAAAGGAATTCTCTAATAGTTACATGTCTCCGCATATGTTAAAGAAAGAAATAATTTAAAAAGAAGTTTCTTTTTTTCTCAGAAGTTTTATAAAGTATAAAAAACTATAGATTGATGATTAAAAACAGCATGTTTGATACCTTTAACCAGGGGCGGATTGGGTATCGAGGGGTCCGGAGGGTTAATCAACTGTACCTATTATTATCACATTTTAATTAATAAATATTTATAGTTAATAGTGTACAATTAACTTTCATTCATTCGAAAATAAATGGTGTTTTACTATTATATTTTAACATTATATTTTATACTTAAATATGTATAATTTGTATTAATTGACACTATCAAGGGCCCGGAGGTGATTGTCCCTTTGCCTCCTTGGCCAATCCGCCCCTGCCTTTAACTCAATTCAATTCAAAATAATAATGTTGGAGAGTACTTATATGATAATTAATTGCTAATTTCAGATAAAACTCTGTTTTATATATTGGTGTTGGTTTCAAAATTATAGTAATTTGAATAATTTATTATAAGCATCATAAATTATACCAAAGTATGAATTAAATACAAGACAATTTTTTTGTTTATACATTTAAACTATTTTTGTTTATAACACATAAATTATCATGAAAGAATAATTATATTTTTAAATTTAAATTTTTCTTCTGAAATCGGAATTATAACTAACATAATTAAAACTACTTTTAAACTTTTTATTTCAATTTCCATACCTATTTACTATTAGATATTTCTTCATGCCATTTGTATATTTCTGAATTACCATGGTTACCATTTTATTATTTATATTTTATATCTACTTGAATAAACACCAGTACACTCTATTGACAAATGTCAATCACTCTATGTTATAAAAAATATTTTTAACTGTTGTTAATTTTGGTGCTAACCTTTGGCTAACACTTATTAAGAAGTGTTGATTTTAATTTATTATTATTTAAGGGTTGAATATAAATTAATACTAATTCAAACATTTTTTCTATTAGTTAAAATTATATAACAATATTTTAATATTGTTAATTATTAATTGTTGTATTTGTTTATATGGCATCATTGCAATACCTAGGTATCGCTAATAAGCAGATTTCTCACATAATTATTATTTATTTTATTACAATTTGTAAAAACTTAAGTTGTATTTAAGTTACATTTTGGAAACACATAAACAATGACAAATTATTGCACTACATATTATGCTATTTAACATTTTATAATATTCTAAAAGTAGATACCTATGTATAATGTATAAGTATATACTTCATTATAAATTTATAAATCAGAGTTCTTCTGAGATTGTTAAGTGTACTTTCATTTGTACCCTATCTATTTCATTATATCCTACAGTAAAAAAATAAATAATGTAAACATACAATATTAAATAGGTACTTACAATTTTATTATTAAACGTATCTAAGCTAACGTCTCTGCCTATCGATAAACTATACTTGGTTGCTGTGATACTAAGAGGACGCTACATTCGCATTTGTTAAGTTTGTAATCCATTTTACAAGTTCGTAACATGATAAATTTACGTTCAACAGTTTACGTTTAGGTTCGTTAATTTAAAAAAATTAGAATAAACTGACGTCTGACTTGTGCTAAACGTAAATTTACTGATACGCGCTTTCAAGTCGAGGACAACAAATTCAAGTGTAGTAACCTTTTAAGTTTCCTGTTCCCAAATAAATTAATCGAGTTCAAATAAATTATTATTCGTTTTCAAGTACGCAATTAATAATTAAAATTCTCATAACAAAATATTAATAGGCTTAATAACCTGTGAAATTCAAACTTAAAATCCTGTAGTGAAAAACGACTATCTTGGTGATAATGACATTTTTAATTTTTTTATATGTGGGTAAATAAGTATTAATATACGAGTACAGGGTTATTATTATTATTTTTTTTTTATCAGTAATATTTTACAAAGCAAAAAAAATCCATAGTGCTAAAAAATTAATGTTTAAAAAAACTATATTTTTAATGTTGCAACTATATATTATTACTTTAATTAAATTATTAGATAGTTAATTTTAATCTTATAGCCTTACCATTGTTAGAGAAACTTATCTAATATCAGTAACTCCATAAAATTAATAATATTTTTATTTCTATAAATAGATAATAGTGAAAGTCCTACAAGTCGTGGCCCGTGATTCAGTTGCCTTATTTTCAAGATGATTTTTTAATCTCCTTAATTTTTAAAAATTTCTTTCAGGAGTGGCTGTTGAAATAGGAAATATTGATAGCAATTAAAAAAGTTCATACATATTTAGGTATATTACTGGTTCACATTGTTGCAGAACTTATTTGATAACCATAAATATATAGTCGATCTTTAGATTCAACCAATTCCATTTTAATTGCTTTAATTGATACCTATTCAGCTTCTATAATGTCATTATAACCTTTTAAATAAAACCCTGATATTATATTTTTTAATAAAATAAATAATAATTTAAGACTTCCTGAAATTTGACCCCTAAGCCCTCTTGGATACACCATTGCTTATTATTCTGAACATTTTTTTCTTACAAATTTTTCAATAGAATAAAATAATATTTTTTTAAATAAAAACATACATTTTTAATTTCTATTCCAGAGAAAGATATTTTTTTAATTATTTCAATACATAAAAATTGAAAAATTGTAATTTGGACGACTGATTTATGAGTTATAACTCATAAGTATTTACGCAGAGTATTCATTAGCACTTCGCAGAGTTTTAAGTACCTACGCGGATACCTCGAAAATTATTGATCTACTACTCCGCTTACCAATTAATGCTTTAAATAAATAAATTTTAAATGTTTATTTATATGTAGGTACAAAATATAGTTAGATGTGCTATGAAATATTAATATAGTGTGTAGATAGATATTTGAATATTTTCTGATGTACTTATTATAAAAATAATGTAAGCAAATAAATGTTATTAATGCATGAACACCTATCACTTTTCTGCCTATAAACTATAAAGTGGACTGTTAGTTAAAATTATCAATTAAGTAAGTTAGATAGGTACTATACAAGGATAAACACGTACACTTATAGTGCCTATTTATATTTTTTATTTATTTTAGTAAATATTCCAACGATTCCGACTTGAGAACCAAGTGGACAAATTCATTGCAGGCACTTGCAAGGATAGAGTTCCCACACAACACGAATCTATATTATTTTCTACAGAATAAATCTACAATAAAAATACCCCTGGACGATATATCTGATATCATGTTAAAAGTAAGTTGCGTTGGGTTAAACACTTAAAAGAATACTCCAACATACCTATAAACTGTGTACTAAAATAAATATAAGTTTAGGTGATCCTTATCATTTGATTTAAAAAAATGTTAATTTATAGTTTTATAGATATTAAATACATTTATGAAATTAATTCAGTTATAAAAACTGGACGAGTTTATCCTATATCATAAAATAATTGAAATTAAACTATCTTGTACAGTTGTACCTACGTATGGACTTGTACGATAATACATTCTTAAATTCTGACCTTAGCAATGAATGATATATTTATTTTATAATAAAATGTGTATTCATAATGTTTTGGTTCTTTTTTTTATCTTTTTAACACATTGCAAATAAATCATGATATATATAGTTGGCACCGTCCATCGAAGATATATTTCAAAAATGTTATTGGAGAGGCGTAACGTACAAATGCAAGGATATTCTGCGGTTTCAACGTACTGAAGAAGGGTTTTGTTATTCGTTCAATAGCCAAACGGCCGAGAGCAGTATAAAGTACGTATCTATACCATTTCTACAGACTACAACTAGAGATCATTATTTACTATAGTATATTTTAGCTTTAATTATCCAGAATTTCTAGTTAAAACAACATAATGTTATTATAAACTAAATAAAATATATCGTAATTGTATGGGTGGGAAAAATTGCCATATTCTATTATGGGACATGTAATGATTGCATATTGTAGTGTACCTATTCAAAATATTACCGAAAAGCAAACGAGTTATCAAAGCAGCTATGAGCAATAATTAAGGTAGTGCACAATGGCCACAATGGTACCTTTCATTACTACTGATACATTTAAATTATAATGCCGGGTTTAAAGTTACATCGTTTATCGTGTCGTGTCCAACATTTGAGCTTGGCCCAATTCACGCTCAATCATGGTCAATGATACTACGATATTAATGACCAATTAGAATATTATATTATATGATACAAGAAACTAAACTCGACAGACGACGTAGCTGTGAACCATTTTAAAAACATAATATGACAAATATCATTATAGTTATATAGTTAATATAATAATAATAAAAATTATTTTGAAATTTATTGAACTTAAAATTTGGTAAAAACAGATTAATGGTTTTCTTTTTCATAAGCTGTACCCCAACTATATACATATATAACTAATATGGTACCTACTATGGTAGTAAACTCTTTAACCACAGTATACAATGTTTTAAAAAGTATTCGTACTATAAATTTAAATGTTTTTCGTAAAACCATTAAAAACTTCATTTTCATGGAAGAAAACACTTTTCGTTGAAATGTACAAGAACAAATATACGCACAAAGAAATCTACATATTTTCAATCATTTATTTTTTAACTTTATGATAATGTTTTAACTATTGTCGCCTATCTGTTCTAACTACGTGAAAAAAGTGTAGTTACACACGATTATTTTTAGCAATATATCACTTTAAGTACATAGATATATATATTTAAGCGTATAAGAATATTTTTAATGATAATATGACATTTATATATTGTATAATACCAGTACACAATAATTATTTTATTTTATCAATAGTTTATTTCTTTTAAGTTTATGACTATCATTCTTATATATATATATATATATATGTGTGTGTGTGTGTGTGTATAACATAATATATTATTATAGTGACGAAAACAAAATTAACCCTCTGTTTATCGAATCGGATGGAATGCTTGTTCCCCTTCGAAACAACGCCGCGGGCAAAGATACTGGACTCAAATTAATAATGAGCAATATGAGCAACAAATTTTTCCCAGATGACAGTCGTAGAAGAGGCTTTAACGTAAGTAAATACGTATATACTTACAATAGATTTTGGTGATTTTTAGATGTATATTGGCATATTGCTGATATTAGATCCCAACGTATATTTAAACATTGTTCACTTCATAAAGGAATAACTATTTGATAGTATTTGGATCAGTTACCGGTACAATCAACTTATCAATATTACTTATATTCATTAATCATAACGCTTCAATAAAATTTGGTTTTAATTTTGCTCCACCTTTTAACCGTTTAACTTTTTCTAATACTTCGTTGTATTTTACTTTACTTAAAAATATATTATTCGAATTTTTTTTTACTCGAAAGAATATTAAATTTTTCATAAAACTTTAAATCAACCATTTTAAATATTTAAAAAAATAAAAGTTTTAAGAAAATTCAAAAATCAAAATAATGATATGTCTAAAAATACAACCAATTTGTTAAATGGTGTAATTTCAATTGATCTGAAATTCTATATATCTTCAGTCTTAAATGTCTACCTACCCTCTGATAAAATTATCACTTAAAAATATTTTTGGTAACATAAACGCCTATATTTGCGTACGCAATCATAATAATAAATTGATATTCACAAGTCTATTTAAAAAAACGTACATAGAAGTAGTCACTTTATAGATGTAAACAACTGTAATTTATTCCGTTCAGGTGATGGTACACACCCCCGACTCCTTTCCGGACGTGGCGACCGCCTACAAAGTGCACGCCATACGCGATCGCATTTCACGGATATCAGTGAGCGTGGCTCAAGTGGAGGCTGATGATTCACTCGACCGTATCGGAAATCAAAACAGCCAATGTCACTTGTACAGAGCAAAAGCAAAGAACCTCAGCTCACTGTTACACAAGAGTAGCAACGAAGACACGTGTTACATCAAATGTAGGATGAGAGCTATCTACAAGGCGTGCAACTGTACGCAGTACTTTTTCAAATTGTATAAAGGTACGGTAGGTTGTTACATTTTTTTAAATAATGTATACATCGTAAAAAAAATATCTATAAATAATAATATACAAACACTGGTATAGAAGCCTTTATTGGGTACAGATATGATTCATGGGTTATGATACATTTGTAATGGTCAGCTACGAGGGATATATATGATTGATAACAACCATATAAAAATATATGTATAGTCTTATAATAATATATGTGTAATATATATTATCACAACTCGTTACAATAAAAATAGATTATTATTAAAGATATTTTTTTTATAGTTGCATGTTATACAAAATAATTGTTCATAATTGTATGAATATTGTTTTATAGGCCTCGGAAGTCACTGTGGAATAGAACACATACCTTGTTTGATCGCAAACGATAGTAAGGCAGTGCATTTTACGATATTATATACTAATAATATATACTGTTATCTATTATAACTATGTTGTGTGGATTTTACCATGTTACAAGTCAAACCCAAACTACTTTAATCGAATGATTAAAACATCAATTATTATAATGTGCTAAATCCATACCCATATATAAAAAAGTCATGAGTTTTAATTATATATTAATGAAAGAATTTGTTAAAAAATTAAGTCAATTTTAAGTATAACTGATTTAAATGTTACATTGTTAATCCATCTATTACAATTTCATAAATTAAAGTAAACATTTAATTGGTGCGTTTAAAAATATGTCTATAAATTATAAATTATAATACCTATATTTTTTCATTTAGAATTTTTAAATAAGAATATAGCATTAATTTTAATTATACCAGACTTAAAAAAAAAACATTGAATCTATTAGTCAATTATATTTAATTTTTTTGTTTCATTGGAAATATTTAAGTACGATCTAACATTATGTACCTATAGGTATAATATCACAAACCGATAATTAATAAAAAATTAATATCTATAGTATAGATTCTATATAAATACAATATAACTTATAATGGCGTACAGTAGTATATTGTTCGTTATTTAGTACTTCAACGTAACCCCAAAGTTCCGGAAGACGAACCAGGCTTTCCTAATTGGAGCATGCCATTTTCTATGAACTGCAATTGTCGACCGCCTTGTTCGTTTATGGCGTATACGACCGAGCTCCGGAATGAATTTAGGTAAGCAAATCAGTGTGAAATACGTTGATACTTCATTATTATTGACGGTTGATATGTTATAGAAATACACACGTTAGAAACGTATATTTACGAACGGTTGAATATTTTACAAATTATTATTTACTATATGAATATTATAAATAATAAATAAAGTATCTAAATATTTCAATACGAATTCAATTGTTCAAGAGTCCTGATCTCTAGTACTCTACAAAACTGTTGTACAATCTACGTACAATTTGCGTAGGTACATCTATATTTTTTCAAGATTAACAAAATAATTATCAGTAAGCTCAAATACGAGTAAACATTGTTCAGAACAGTAATTAATATAGTAGGTATAGTGAAAAAAACATAATCTATTTACAAAAAATACACTTTTTAATACTTATAATGCTCTAATAAAAAGGTCATTAGTGTAAAAAAAAAAATCATTTTTGTAAGATAAAAATTCCTAAGTTCAAAGACTTAATAATCACTTTTAGCTATATTTATACATTTATACTTTATTATAGTAACAAAACATTTATCTAAGTATATTGGAACAAAATATTGAACACACATATTAGTCATAACATATATTACGTATATTTTAAAATATTATGACAGAAACGTTCATATTATTTTCCTCACAATGAAAGTTTTGTTCAACGATATTAATTATCTCAATCAGTGGCGCCAAACCCTATGTTAATGTTGGACAATTGTCTTACATATAAAATTGGTGATGGGTGAGTAAATCTATTTTGGTAGCTTAAACAACCGAATGTGTGGTGGATGAAAGTTTGTTTTAAATGTTTGTCCTACATATTTTTTTTTACTTCGGCGCCACTGATCTCAATAATTACGACTATGTATTACATTTCACTAAATTTATAGTGACTTATTAGAGTATTAATTATTAGTATTAGTTATACTAAAAATCAATGTCGTGTGTAGCTGTTATGTATTATATTGTGATGAAATAAATACTTTTTAGATTTTAAGCGAAACGATGAATTGCAGATTTACAATGAAGTAGAAAAAATACTTCAACTTTGATAATAGTTTTTGATATCAAACTGGATCTAGAATTTCTAGTGTTTTTCAAAAATAACTGGGAAAAAACTTCAAGAAATTAATGCATTTTTACACAAAACTCGTTTTAGTCAATTTTTCTTTGTTTTAATATAACATAAAAACAAATTATTTTAGTTATTTGAAATTTTCACCAAATTTTTATGTTAACATTTTTTAAACATGATATAATTTTTAAAATAATTTGACTTTTTATATTTTTAATTTTTTTTATTTCTTTTTTTTTGTTAATAATGATAAAAAAATTATTCTTTGTGCAATATAAAAATTCTTAAAAATTTAATGCTGATCCCAGCAATCCCACATAAGTTGTTCTTACATCTGTATAAAAATATTAAGAATATATAGACATAATTATTTTTATATGAATATTAAATTTTTATAGCTAAGATATTTGAAAATTTAATACTAAAATGAATAAAAATTATTCATGTAGATTTGAAGTTAAAAACAATAATATACATTCTTTATATGGTAAATATGTGTTATTTTAATTAAATACTAATAATATAATTAATGCAATTTTTTCCTAAAAAATAAAATGAACTTATTGTATTGCTTAAAGCAAAATAAATACTTAATAATATTATAATGATCGGTTGACAGACCATCTCCGATCAGAATAGTTTTTCATGTGCAATGAATTCAAATTAATACTCTCACAATCATTTTCACTCGAAACTTAATATATAGTAGAGCGGTACCTGCTTGCTCACTTTTTTATAAATATGTGTAATATTAGAATACATAATATTATAATTTGAATAGTGATTTTTCATAAAATAACTATTTCATAACATTTTTATAGAAAAAAGTGTCATGGGTGATTTAACTAATAACTCCTCTTGTAAAGGTATCTCTGAATTAATAAAATTAGTTAAAAAATTAAAACAAAACATTTTAATGTTTCAAAAAAATAATTTTGATTAAGTTTCATCTGTAATAGTAAATTTAAATTTTTGTTTTATTAGTATTTTACTAAGTGTGGAGCTGGCATAAAATTAAAATATTTATTAATGTAAGCACCATCTAACCAATATAACTTATTTTTTTTTAGGCAATTTGTTAACTATGAACAGTTATCTTCGAGATACAATGTATACTTGGAAGTCAATTATAGAGAACTTTATGCTACAAGCTATCGACGATCCATGAGATATACTACTCAAGATTTGTTGGGTAGGTTTCCTATACTTATTAGTTATTACTTATTACTATTTTTTTTTCGTAATATGACATTACATTATATAACTTTACAATTGTTTGACGCTTTTCCGTTGGTACGGAAAGTAAGTAGTAAGGTACGCTTATAGAAAACCAGTTGAAAATTAAAAAAAATACTTTCTTTATTAGAATTTATAGCAGTAGTATATTTATATATTTAAACCTTATACATTATATTTAACCAATCCAACCTCCTATCTTTGAAGTTTGAGGGTTCTAAATTAAATTGTCTAAGTAATTCTTCTATAAATTATTTGATTTGTATAAAATTTGGAATGCATAATTTAGGCGCAGAAATGGTCTGTTCAATAATATTATAGGAATTCCCCGTCATATAATAATTCATGTTTTTAAAAATTAAATTCAGCACTTAAACGCTTTAACATATTACGTAAGACGTATATGTTTTGAAATCGGTGGGTCCATTATGATTTAATAATATTGAATAATTTTACGTCTAACAGTGTCGTTCGGTGGACTAGCCAGTCTGTTTCTTGGTTGCAGTTTGGTAAGTATAGTGGAAATCCTTTACATAATCTACAAGTCATTCTTGATACTTGTGCAAAACCTCTACAACAACTACAACTGCAACAACGACCCAGCACGACGGGATACAACTGATAGTGAGCGTTTTTATTAAGAAATAAAGTTTATATATTACGCAGTAAAAATCACTAAAATATATTCTTAAAAATAAGCGTTATGCACTAACAATTTTAAAATATGCTTTTAAAACCGCGTTTAAAAAAAAAAAATTGTTTTGCTCTTAGTTAATATAAAAAAAGTTATAGCAAAGTTTATTTATTTTGGTATAACTAATAATAATTAAATATACTAAATTATACTATTGTTATTAAAATTGATGATATTATAGTTTATGAAAAAATTAAAGGAAACGCAGAAAAAAATTCTATTGAATTGGTTGTTTTAATTTTCTATAGTTCTAAGTTGAACTTAAGGTTCAAAGTAGTGCAGTATGTTATAAAAAGATCAAATATGAAATAAAAATTGTAAAAACTATAAAGTCATGAAACATTCTCATATTTATTATGTTTTATAAAATGTTTGTAAAAATATTATTTTTTGTTTGAATAATAAATATGATATAATAATACATTTAACTTAAAAATATTTTTTGGTAAATACATAAATCAATTAATAGGTAAATAATTATTAATATATTTTTATTCTATTATGAATCTATTTTTATTTTCAATAAAAATACAATATTACGTTTTATCATAACTATAATTTAATAAGCTATTATTTTTTTCACCTTTTATAACAATAGTACCAAAAATTTTTGAGGTATTTATAATTTAATATTTTTTACTTATAGGATAATAATATATAGTGTGGAACAGATAGTATTTAATAACAGATTATTAGCAAACGGTTTGATTAAAATATTCAATTAGGTATGCGAATAATACAAAATAAACTTATACTCTTTTATAAAAGTATTTATTTTACTATTTAAAATTATTTTAATCGATTTCGGTATCAAGGGCGCCCATAAAAAAATTCTCAGGGGGGGGGAGGCAAAATTTTAATTATGTCCATGAGATAGGAAGGGGTTTACAATTTAACATAATACTATTATATTTTATATATCAAACGGGAAGATTATGAAATAATAATTATTTAACCAATTAACCATAAAAGTAATTTATTGAATTTACATTTGATAAATAACATAAATTTATTAAAATATTAATTTACAAATAAAAATCGTAAATTTCTCTTTTTAACACCAAATATATTTATTACTTGTTCTATGTATTCATTCGTTTTATCATCAATTTTTCCCTGTGTACGCTTATTATACATAATCCATCAAGTCTATCTTCACTCATTATAGATCTTGTGTAAACAATTTTTTAACATTTTCAACATTTTCCAGGGAGGGGACATGTCCTTCCCTTTACCCCTCCATATGGGCGTCTTTGTTCGGCATCAAAAATATTAAACTATAATTTACCACCATAAATTGTGCATTTTTGAGTTTTTTTTTTTTGACAGTGAGTATATTTTTGATTACGAATGTAAGCTAGAAAGTGCTTTAATCTAATATTTACTAATAATGGTTTTAATTCCTCAAATTACACGTGAAAAAAATCGATAAAATTATATTATCTAATATTTTTTTTTTTTTTTTTTATTATAGCTTCAAGTTACAACTAATTTAGCTCAACAATTAAATAATAATTATCTAATATTATAATTCATTTTTATTCTGAAAAAAATAATTTTTGATTTATAAACTGTTTAATTAGGCAGTAATCTGTAGCTACTTATGTATAATGCAGTTTTATTTTTTTCATCTTGTTTTTTGAATTACCACGAGAATAAATACACCTAATCTAATGTTATAATATTCTTAAAATATATAATATATACCAGATTTATTTAGATTAATATTTTAATTTTTTTTGTAAATTACATAAAAAAAAATGTCAACTATTTTTATTTTTACCACTACGATTAGCATATAATTATTAGAATATGAAAGTTTTTCCTAAGAAGAAAATTTTTATACAAAAAACATGTCACCTTCGACACTTTTAATTATTAAATACAACCTTACTTCATAGTCTTACAACAGTACAATGGGTTGCAACAATATTAATACTTCAATAATATGATAGGTACTACCCAATACCCATTGGTGCAAATAGGGGCCAATCAAAAAATTGTGCCTAACAAAAATCATATAAATATTTGTTTGGTAAAAAGTACCTATTGTATAATTCTGCAACCATTTTTTTAAAGATATAAGAATTGTTTTTTTCTTCGAAGAAAATATGCTAAAGAGTTAAGTCTTCAAGAGAACAATAATATTTTGACTCAACTATATAATATTTTACCACATACTTGAGCATCAACTACTCCGTTCGCTTAATATGTATAAAAAGATATGTATTGAATGTAAATCGTGCAATTTATGTGAATAATAACTTATAATTGATAAATTTCGATGATAAGACGAAAAATATCTATATAGTTGAATGATTGACAAGTGTGTAAACAATAAAACTATATAAATAAATGAGCGTATATTGACAAATGAAAAATGTTTAAACCTCTTGTAGGTTATATAACTATGTTAACATATTATATTACACTAGCTACAAGGTATTCATTACTTTTTATTAATAAAATATAAAATAGAACAAATATTGATGTAATAAAAGTACCTAATAAATTATTAATTCGATATTTATTGAAAAATTGTCTTTTTCCATTTAGAGTTTAACAACATTAAAAATATACAGATACTATGATTGTAAACAAAATGTCAAACAAATGCAAATCTGATCCATAAAAACGATTTATTGTACTGAAAGGAATAGTTATATCAGATTCGAACGTAAAAACACCTACATGTAGGATTGCGAAATTATTTGTATAATATAAGGGTACGCCTCCATTTCATTAGATTAAAATCGACCATCATTGAAAAAATCGGTACAAGTAATAATAATTTAATACAATAGTCATATATCTACTCATGTTTGATTTTGATATCATAAATTATATTTCTTTTTAAAATGTCTAACATAGTTTGTAAATAAAAATATAAACTAATAATAAATTTAGTATACTACGGATTTGACCTGTGAGTGATATATTGAACGCCATTATTTCATTTTTGATATAGTGGTCCGCGTCCAGTGGTGATATTTTTATTCACTAGTAGTTACACACTTACACCTATCCATAATTAATAATGTATAGATTCGAATTATTATAAAATATACAGTTTATCGATACATCGTTTCATACCAACGATTTATTATTTCATTTTATCGCCATGAAGTCTGTAAAAACGTTCTGGACCGACTATTGCGAAAAGAGTTCTTTGCATGGCCTCCGGTACGTCGTCCACAAGGAAGCAACTTCCTGGGAAAGGTAAGAACTAAGAACTACGATTTTCGTCCGAACTATTATTTCAGTCAATTCACATAATTAAACGACTATACGAGGTGTAGTATATTATATACATACACATTTATTATAATATTATAATATGTATTGAGTTTAACATACCTATATCATAGTCGATTAATACATATCTAGATATTTTAACTGTGTATGAAAATAAAAAAGAACTGTCAGGGTGGTTATTTTGTAGTCTATGTCATAGACACTATGATATTCATAATCGGTGATCGGCATACTTCATTGAGTATTTTTTTACTTAATGACATTCTTACTCCGTTTAATGAGGATATATATTTTTTACTCAAAATAAATTACATCTGCTAAAATCGTGTGATACGTAATTTTAAGGTAGAATTTTTGAAATCAATCGCTATCGATTATATATATTTAATATTTAACTTGGTTATTTATTTATTTAAATTTAATATGTTTCTTTTATTATTATTATTATTTAAATTTTATTACCAAGCCAATAATATACATAATACTAACCTTAAAAGCTACTCGTATATATTCTGATACATTTTAAGAATTAAGAATTGATGCAGGACCACAAGAGGGTAGAGGGGTTAAAGTACTAAAATTAAACTTTATATATCAGCGTTCCCAAGTAGGCAATATTGCCTTCTTGAGGTCGATAGAACTATCAAAGTTACAATCTCAATTTAGAGGACATTGTAGTATTATGAACGCAGGCATTGACTGTTTCTATGTGAATTTTTTTAATCTGAATTTTTCTTCAGCAGCCGCTTCATTGTAACGTAGTTGTACGTAGTTATATTATATTTTTAAACTAATTATTATTGCAAATTAGTAATTACTATCAATGCAGGCACGTTGATCTCATTAGGATAACATCAATTTTATTTACGATTTATATACTAATATTACACACATACAATAAATTAATTTGTCATTGCATATTTTAAAAATGTGTTCTTTTTTTGAACAAATGATTAGCAATTAAAATAACGTTGTCATACATTTCAAAAAAAATCATTTTCATATTAAAGGGCTGGTAAAAAATTTTTTATCATCAAAAGACGCGTTGAGTAAAAAAATTTCAGGAAAAACTTATATATTATAATTGTACTACAAAGTAGAGCTATGAACGGTTTAGCAAACTAATGAATTTCATACAAATTCAAATTAATCAAGTCATTACCATTTTAAATATGATATTTTATTTTGCATATAATTTGGACGTTATATAGTATCTACTATCTATAACCAATAGTCCAATAATATCTAAGTTAATAGGTAAGATGTATGGTGTATATATACTTATGCCAAATATAACAATTTTCAGAAGTATGATTTAATAACTATTATTATATTTAAACTATTATAAAATTGTGTTAACCAGTAAAATTAAAATGATATTATGGATCACAACCCATAACATTTATGTTACTTGTGTTTTTTCTTATATGAAACAGATTCTACATATCATAATGAGATAAGTATCCAATAGTGTCATCATCCTATTAAAATATATTTATTTATACAAGGAAGTCTAAAAACGTTAAGAAAATTAATTTTAGTAAAAAATTATTGATCTGAGTTATAAATTAATAACGAAAATTTTTTTTTATTAATTTAAACATTATTAACAATTTTTTTGTTTTATTTATAATATTTTTTAATAGATTATTGTGGGCAGTGTTAATGGCAGTCGCTAGTGTCACTATACTTGTGCATCTGTACGCTTCATGGAAAAGTTTCTCGTATTCGTCCATGCAAATCGTAGTGGACAATCCTCGATTTCCGCTAAGCAAAATCGATTTTCCGGCAGTAACAATTTGTTCCATAAACAAAATCCTTTATTCGAAGGCTAAAAGATTATTTTTAAGGTATGAATTAAATTTATTATCGATATAGTAACCAAGAGGCTTACAGGTATCTCACTACTTTAACACACGTTACTGACATAAACTAATTATAAATTTCAAAATAAAATTTGTTTTATAAGTATGTATAAATTATTTTATGATGTTTGTTCTATTCATGTAATTTATTTATTTTAGTATCAACGTACATATATAATATATATTCTGCTAAAAATATTAATTAATAAATACTATGGTTACTGATTTATGAGCATATAAATATACAAAGCAGGAATGTTAAATTCTTACACGAAACACGAACCTAAAAGGATTACTTTATTTATGCTCGTATATTATACGATTTGTAAGTTAAGGCTAGGCGTTAATAAACTAAAAAATCAAATAACACTTAACTAAGTTACATAATTTAAAAAGAAAAAATTTTAAAGTATATTCTAACGTAACGATTTTAAAACTTATTCCATTTAATATCTTAATATGTACTTATTAAAAAATGATTAAGTTTATAGTCAGCATGACTTAGACAAAATCAATTTATATTGTATTTTGATTTCTACTATTAATATTTTTATTGATTAAACATTTTTTTTTTTTTTTAATGTCCAAACAACTTCGTCCATTTGCACCTATTCGACTGTTTCTAATAGAAAAATGTTCTGATCAACTATGAAGGAATCTAGTTATTATTTCTACATACCTACTAAAAAGTCAAAATTAAAATTGTTCAGTACTTTTTAAAATAATAAGGAAAAACTATAAACAAAAATGAAAAATATGTTAAGGCATATGATCAGCTATAACTTTTAAACGCAATATTCTGTAAATACAATTCTGCAAATAATAATTAATACATTTATATTTCTATAAGAACATAGATTTAATTATACACCATGTCTATAATATAAACTTTATATATACTATTAAAATATAGTAATTACTACACTGTATCACTTGCGTGGTTTGTTTTTAGTAAATACGAAAATGAACCAGAATTGAAAAAAAAATACGAAAACTCGCTGTACATTATGGAAATTTTACAATATCCACACTATAAAGATCTTAAAAACTTCGTTAAAACTAACCCTGTTCTGACCGATTTCCCATCAGAAAATATCTCCGATCTCATGTTGAAAGTAATACTTATACGTAGTTATATTAATATTATATTATAATATAGTTCGCAATTATAAATTTAATACCATTATCTACTATTATTAATTATTATAGTTAAGTTATATCAACCATGTCGCAATGCGTTTTAGCTTATGCCCACCATTGACGAGGTATTTGATGCGTGTTACTGGAGAGGCACCGGTTTCAATTGTTCAGATATATTACGACTGCAAAGAACTGAAGAAGGATTTTGTTATTCATTCAACAGCAAAACGTCGGAAAGGACGACAAAGTAAATATTAAATAATAACGTCATAATTTATCGGACTTATTATTCTGTCTTATTTATTCACCTGTTATTCCTTTGATACGAGTGATTTGTCAATATATTAATGAGATAATACTATATTACTATGTGTATATATAGGTAGTAGTACTCTTAGTTCAATATGTTATTTATATTTCTAGTATAATTAATATGTAATGCAACACAATCATGAAATATTTGTAAAAATAAAATGTCCGTAAAGAATTTAAAAAAAATTATTCAGTTTAGAAATTTTTCATTAAACTGGGTGATTAATTTAGCATCAAGTCTGTAATATATAGTACTATTTTTAGTACTAATTATCATATTATATGTCTATTCGTATTTATTAAGGTCACTACCTTAATAAATACGAATAGAATATTCAGTAGGTAATATAAGTATGCATTGATAAATATAAGTACAGATGTAGAATATTTTACATGTAATGTTGGTATTATACGTAAATAATATATTTATTAAGTATTTAAACTACATATTACATAAAATTCTACAGGTAAAAAAGCTGTTTTTTATTTACGAGTATTCAAATAATCCTGCGGCAACAGTGGCCATTAAATTATATTAAAAAGATTAAATTACAAATGGATAACATTAACATATAAAATAAAAGTAGGTAAAATAATACACAAATTAAAATATATGTGACAACAAATTTTAATGAGGCAGAGATAGAGTTGAGTTTCTGTTTAAATTACACAGATAAGTGATTTTAGAAGAATAAAAGTTTCTCTGTTCTAGACATATATACCTACGGCATTCAGTGAAAATATAAATAAATAATTTTTCATAAACAATTTAGTCATATTATAATATTCATTAGTTATTATCATGACTGTTATTAGTGCATAATAATACAAAATTAATATATGTGTGATGATTATTTTATAACTGTTTATATAGGATTCTGGACTTTTATTCTCTTACTTAAGTTCGAAGTTTGGAAAGTTTTATTTTCGTTAATTCGGTTTAATTTCATTTTTTTTACTTAACTTCCAAAAGCTTAAATTAAATTAAAAAATTAGTTAAAATTTATTGATACCAATAGTTCTTTTAAAAGACAATGGGTACAAATGATATAACACTGTTGTTCTTTATTGTGGCTAAGCTAAACAATATACATATTCACAATGCACGTGTATTCAATAAATTAAAACTATATTAACAGTAAGTACTTTAACACGATTATTATATAAATAGAAAATTAACACAAAAGTAAAAAAAAAAAAGTCTTTAGAAACTGATAAAAACAACTTAACAAGTAGGTAATTAATATTAATTTTATTATAATATTAGCCTCTAGGCAAAGTTGAATTCATATTTTTTTTTACATGATATTATTGGCTGACTATTAATGTTTCCGAATTTCCATTTGACATAATTCTAAATGTATATTGTATAATAATTTGCCAACATCCAGCCGCCATAAATAGTATAGGCATACTTTTTTTTTGGCATCAACAACTAATGAGCATTTTAGAATGAAAATACTAAAATTATACCTACTGTATATAATCAATTTATATTAGAATTTAGCACAGAAATCGACAAATAAAATACTATGAAAAATGTTGATAAAAATTTGATTACCTACTATAGTTGTAAGTACTTAGAATACACGGTGACTGGTAAGTATTTTCAATGGATGGAAATATAAAAAGTAGATACGTATGATAACTTGTAATTTATAATTAATTATAAATTAAAATACATCTATATAGCTTATAATTTTATTGAACATTACTATAGGTATACTACTATTACACGGGGACTTTAAGGTATATTTATTTATAAGAGTAACTTTTTTTTAAAGTCATTCATAAAATACATACGTAACTTACAAACATTAAAGCTGTACATGTAACCGTAGAATCAGTTACTCCTACTAGTTCTACTAATATTAATTTTTTAATTAAGGCGGCTTCAGCGTCACCAACACCATATAATAATGAAATTTCCAATATATGAGCCACTAGCGAAAAAGGTTAATAAGTAATAATATAATATAATACTACTATCTATGTTTAAAAAAATTTTACTAGAGTTATTTGAATATCGTCAAATATAAGTTATTTATACAATCAATTTATTCATCATCACCAATAACCATTTGTACTTTACTTTTATTTATACAGACGAATTTATCTAAATTAGTAATTTATTTTTATTTTATATAATTATTTAGAGAACTTACAACTATTTATCAAGATAAGTCTCAACACTGTTCATATTAATAAGTACTTAAATAAATTTAAATGTTTTTTATGTGTTATAAATTATATATACATTATTTCATGTGTTATTGAAGTTAACCAGCACTAGTTTTAAATTTTAATATGACTAATCTATATTATAGAAAATACATTTTTATTATTTATTTTGCTCAAATATTCCATACATTATATATAATGACCAACTTTTTAACTTGGATCGTAACATGTATATTCCCATTATCATATCATCACCAACGACACCAACTAACCCTCTCCTTCACACCAAAAAAAAAAAGCTGATCAGATACGTGACGTAAAGGTACATATGTGTATGTATACCATAAAAAGTATTTTTCGAATTTCGTCAAAATAACCTAGCCTTTTCGTTATAAAAAAAAATATATACATATCTAAATAAACAAGTTCGCTTCTACAATTTGGAAATGTAAAAGATGCTAAAATTATATAAAAATTAAATCAACTTAAACAATTTTTTATGTTTAAATACTTAAAGACATAAGTACATTATATCATATAAAAAGCCCAAAATATTTTTATTTTGAAAAATACTCATGAGTTATTCAAGAAATACAATGTTAAGTAGACAATATTTCAGACATATTTGTTTTATTTTTATTTAATTAAATTATTTTGATCATTTTTTAGTTAATAGTACCGACCTATGTAATATGATGTATACCTACGCTATACTTGAAATCTATTTTTAATTCAGATTTTCATAAAAAATAATAGTTAAATTGATGTGTATTTTTTAAATATTTATTTTAAGAACTAAATTTATTACTGTATATAAAATGTCTATAGTATTTATGATCGTTTTGTTGTTTTCAGTGACAGCGAAATCAACCCACCAATCGCCAAACCAAACGGCAAGTTGATACCTCTCAAAAACAACGTTGCGGGCATGATGACCGGTCTCGAGTTGATTATGAAAAGTTTGATCACTGAATACTTTCCGAACGACAAGCGATTCAAAGGATACAACGTACGGCATCGTTGTTTTATCGAAACTCGGGGTCATGACAATAGGCAAAATATTATATTCTTTTATGCATATAATGACACCAATTCCCTCCAAAGTTAAACTTTCTCTTTAAATGGAAGTTTGAAGTATAAACTTTTGAAGAAATGTATGATAATATCCTCCACACATGGTTATACAATTGATTTATAATAATTATAATTTATAAGTGATACTAAAATAATACAACCGTTAAATATTTCTTCGCTCTTTAAATTATAAGTTATTAGTAAAAATTAATTGAGATGGATAATAATTAGCAGCTTCGCATGTAAAATCAAAAACATGATTAAAAAGTTCCGTACTTGTAATTTTATTCAAATAATATTAGACTGGAACAAAATTGTTTTTTGTAATGCCTTTCTATCTATTATACAAAAACTAACACTGTCGGCTACATTCGACACTCGATTTTACGATACTCGACTTATAAAATATATTAATTTAAACACATAAAATCGGGTTTCCTCCAAAAATGTGTACAGAATTTTAAATTCTTTAACTGGTTATACAATTAAATTATTTAGTTTAGTGTAGCCAACATATTATAATATAGCTCCTATTGCAAGAATAAAAAAATTCTATACTTTGACGTGTGCATTTGTACGTTGTAGACATCCAGTTTATTACCAAATAGTGCTATTGTACGATTAAAGTGAAAAAAAAATAGACAAATATTTTAAATTTTAAATTTTTACGCATAAGTACGTGAATTGCATCAATAATCGACGAGTGATATTTTTTGCTAAAAACTAAAAAGCGTGTACTTATACTTTTTGTTTGCATCAAATAAGTAGTAAAGTTAGAAGTACGAAAAGAAAACATATTTAATATTTTATGAACTTCACCCGAGATTAATTGACCCCCTTTATGTTTGATTTTTTTTTTTTTTTTGTAAATTTTATAAATTGTTTTTTTAAAAGTTTTTTAATTTTAATGGCAATTGACTTAGATATCGATTTATATGTAGATAATGATACACACGCCCGAGGACTTCCCAGACATTTCAAGCAGCTACAAGGTGTACAGCGAATTGAATCAATCGTCAAGGATATCGGTGAGCGTAAGTCACATACGGGCAGACGAATCGTTACATCGTCTCAGCGAAAAAGACCGTAAATGTTTCTTTTACGAGACGAAAACAACAAAAACGAAGAACTTCCCGTCGTCAAGGAGCAACGCCGAGGACAACTGTTACAGCGAATGCCGGCTAATGAGTACTTATAAAATGTGCAATTGCACTCCGTACTACTTTAATATGGATGGTATGCGTTGATTGAATACCTAAAGTAATAGATTTGGTTTATTATGACGTAATATTATATTTTACTGGATAAACATATAATATGCATAATCATAGGCGTCCCCGGGGAGGGGGCAAGACGGGGCACTTGCCCTCCCCCAGAAATTTAATTTTGTTATCTTTATTATACCTAATAATTTAATGTAATAATGATGAAACATAATAATGTATTATAAATGAAATTTATAAAAAAAATCTTCATTTATTTTTTAAATTATTTTGCCCCCTAGAAAAATGTCTGGGGACGCCTATGTGTATAATATAATAATTTGGACATTTCAAACAAGTCTAAACGTTAATTTTAAGCTTTTATCGAACGTCTGTTTATCTTTTCGCTTTCACCCAAATGACAATATATCTTGTAAGTTGTATTATCGTAAATTATTTCCCTCCAAAATATACGATGTGCCTACTTACTTCAATATATTTTATAATTTTGTTACCCAAACTACACTTTATAAGCCATCTAAAATACATCATATCCTTTACCCCTAGGGATTTTTTAAATTTTAAATCAAGATAGAAGGTAATATTTCTAGTGTCTCTAACTAACGATCCATAGCTAAATTTCTAAAATATTTCTTATCAATCACATCAAAATAATTTATTTAACTCAGATTTTTCCGTAAAATGTATTTTTTCATACGAGTATCTATGTGCAAAACTAGGTAGGTTATGCACTTTTTTTTTTTGTTTTAAAATGTATTACAACTCTAAATATATTATTGCTATCTTAACTGTCAATTTCTTGGATTATTAAATACAAATAAGTATACAATTAAAAACTCCTAGCCTTAAATATAAATATATACTAACTAAACTATTGTGATTTGATTATGATTTTAAAATGGCCAGTAAATATTTTGATACCGACAATTAAAAAACTGAAGTAATGTGACTGGACTAAACATTTTTATTTCTGTGGTTATAGAGAGCCAGCAACAATGTGGAATTAAAGACATACAATGTCTCAGCAAAGTCAAAGGTATCTACATACTTTATACTTATAAGTTATATTATCTAATGATTTATGATTAACGAATAACGAGTTAGGTAAACACAAATTATATTGTTTATAAATAAGAATTTAAAAACTTATTATTAATAAGTACCTACAGAATAAAAACCATAGCTGGGTGCCTGGAGTAGATACGTTAAAACAATAAAATTAAAAAAAAAATTAATTAAATTAATATTTACTTAAACAAAAAATAGTAGGCAATTGGGTACTGTTCAGTTGTACATTAGATGTCGAGTAGGTCACTGTGATTGAATTTTTAAATTTGAATTCAGTAATACATTATAAGATACGAAAAATATTTCTGAGCGGAGACGATCTGTTAGTCTATATCACTAAGTAAATTTCATAATATATTTTTTGATAAAGCTATTAAAGTAATTTATTTTACTAATGATATTATGGTAGGTTGATTTCATTTTTGCAAAAATATTGCATTTGTTATATTATTAGTATTTAATAATTAAAATAATTTATATTATATTTATAACATAATATATTATTTTTATTAACTTTTTTGTGGATAACACTTTATCATAAAATAATATAAAATATAGGTTCATAGCATAAATAAACAATATCTTAAAATAATTGATCTACATATTTTTAAAATACCTATAATTTTATAATATAGGTACGTAAAAGTTTTGCGTCCCAACAAATATTAAATTTATTTTTGAATTATAAAATAATCGTTATTCATCGTTAAAATATGTAATTTTATTTCGTCAACATTTAAACTTGAAATATCTTAAAAAAAATAAATAATTTACATGTATAATTTTTAGGCCTTTTAGTTTCAGCATGAACTAATTAAGAGAAATATTTGATCTTCAAATTTTAGCCTTAAAGAATCTATTAATCACGAGTAATTCAATAAAATACTTGTAGTTTGAAAATTGTCACAATTTTAACGATTTTGTAAAAATGTGAATATAAAATATTGTGCCTATTAAAACAAATTATGTGAGATCTTAAATTCAATTTTCAATAATTTTATTTATCGTTGGACTAAAATTATCGTTAATTATGAAAAAAATCTATTTTATTCTCAAGCCTTTAGATAGCCCAAAAAGAGTCAACATATATTGAAAATTAAACTGTGTAATAAAAATGATAATATAAACGTTTGGTGAAAATTTTAAGTGCCTATCTACAGTTATTCGCTTTAAATAACAACAAAAAACAAAATCCATTTGAGAAAAAATGATTACCTATTATACGGATGAATATTCAATGTCATAAAAATGTCATTTTTAAATAACCATAAAAAATGAATGTGACTCGAGAAAGGAATTTTATGTACGAAAAAATAATCAAATATGTATTTAAAAATATGCACATTTGCATCAAATATTAAATTATGTAATTAAATATGTTCTAAAAAAAATTACACACTCATATTACATTTTTTCTTTAGATATTTTATCTACTTATTTTAGTTCATTTTAATAATCTCACTTTAATTAATTAAATATACTTATTCAATATCATTTTTGACCTTGATTTGTGAAAAATATTTACAGAAATGCTTAATTTTCGATAAACTATCGAAGTATGCAAGAAAAACTTAAAATATGCATTAAAAACTTATAGTATTTTATCATAAATGTTGTGAAGTATGTACTAAATAAACTAAGTATACAATAAAATTAACAAGAAAAATATGCAAGTGCATAAAAGTCTTTGCTCTACTTATAATAGATCACTGGATTTAACTTAGATGAGTACTTAAAAAAGTTGCTAACAAAAATGATTTTTTCAAAAATGATAGGTATTACGTTAATATTCCAGTTTTTCTATATATTTTTTTTAGTTTTTTCATATTGTTTACTATTTACGAATAGTAATGTACTAATAATATTTTACTTTTTACTCCCAAAGTACCAACTCCATCTAATCTGTTGCCAGAAACCATTAAAACAATTGTAATGCTTAAAAAAGCGATGACAGACATAAATCATTGAAAAACCTTTAGATAAGTATATTTATTGCTTAAGTGAACGTCAAATATAAAACTTAATATAACATTAAAAATAAATATTTTATATTAACAAAGTTTAAATAACGTCATACACGACATTTCTATATTGTTCAAATAAACAATTACTTGAAACCGTAAAAACAATCATTTTTTTATTAGTAGGTAACTTACTAATTTACACCATAATTCATAAATCATTAAACAAACTTAACAGCTGTTGATCGCATTTTACAGTGCTTCAATACAATGCTCGAATATCAGAAGAAGAATTTGGATTTCTTAAACAGAGTGCACAGGATTTTATGAACTGTAGTTGCCCACACCCGTGTTCGTTCATAGGATACACGACAGAAATTCGTAACTATGCAAAGTAAGTTTATACCTAAATCGGTAGCCATGTGCCAAGGTAAGCAATATATATGAGTAAGTTGTTGCAACGTAGACTCTGTGTTTATAATTTGAAGGCAACACTATCTACCATGTATCAATTTCAAATTTAAATCAAATCCACCATTGATATTGGCAGATTTACTGTTTGGTCTTGGTGATAAGGAATAGTAGATTTATTTCAATTTGTTTGACACAAAAAAATACAGGAAAAAATATTAATATCTATATGAATATATTTTTATAATACTACTGCGTATAAATCATAATTTTTCTTTTAGGGACTTCATGGCTTATACAAAATTTCCACCGGCTTATACACACATAGAGGTACACTACAAAGAAAGATTTGCCATCAGTTACCTGAGATCCATGAAGTACACTACACAGGATTTATTAGGTAAGCTTAACCAATTTCATAATTCTATAAAATTGTAGTTTATACTTTATAGTAAATTATTTTAACATAGCCATGCAGTGTGTAAACCAGTGGTTCCCAACCTTATTTATTCTATGCCCCCTTTGTAGATTTTCAAAAATCTCGCCCCCTCTACCTATAAATTGAAAAAATTATAATTTTTTTGTTTACTTTACAATTTACAAATAAACTATATAATATTCGGAAAGACTACTTTTTTATTGATGATAGTAATTATTATAAAATATAAATAATTGTAAATAATATAGTATTATAGTGGAATTTTAAACATAATAAAATTTGATAAATAAACATTTTTCTTTGTGATGACTGATTGCGCCTCCCCAGCGATGTGTATACGCCCCCTAGGTTGGAGACCACTGGTGTAAACCATGTATTATTAAATCTAAGGCTTAAATCAATTAAGTAATTTAAATTTAGTTTATTAATTTACAATCTCTAATTATTGCTGTTTGATCTATAAGTATTATTATACAATTATATATAGTAGTGAGTAACCTATATTGCAAAATTCTATGCGCTAACATTAAGATATTTTGTCCAAAAATTAATATTAAATTCATGTTTTGCATTTTATTAGTGACATTTGGCGGGATGGCAAGTCTATTTCTTGGTTGCAGTTTAGTCAGTGTGGTGGAGCTCATTTACGTTATCTATAAATCATTATTTATACTTAAACATAGACATACCAAAGTCGATACACCTTCAAAACACGAACGGCAAATTATCTTATATCGCCACCATCGTAATATATACCATTTTTGCAAACCTCTGTATAAGCCATCAAATATCACATTACCAGAAATCAAATATTAAGCAACACAATAGGTGACATACTTACTTTGTATATTTATATACTTAAAAATACAAAAGAAACATCGCCGGTTTTTGCATGTATACATAGCATTATAATACTGATGATTTAAATTTTTAATATAAGTATTGTTTAACACATAAATTAAAACTAATATCAATTATTTTAAAATATAATATAACACTATTGTATTTTATCACACGGTAAATTTGGCATTGCAGTTATATAACATCATAATGTAAAAAAAAAAAAAACAAAAACAATAACTTAACTTTAACAATATATTTGGAGATTAGTTGTCTGAATTATTTTCTTTGCTATCATTGTCTCTGAATAAAACATTTTCAAGTACTAAAAATCAAATAATAAAAGAAAAAAGTTATAATAGTAAAAATTAGATGATTTTATTCAACAATATTTTATTATATATTAAAAATAAATCTCTAAAACTGATCCTCTTAATTATTTCATCATTAAAATAATTTCTAAATCGAGTATATCAATTGATTTATAAAGTTATTAAAATTTAAGAAACTTATTTTCATGTAATATTATAATATTTTATCATTTTAATCACATTCAATTAGTTTATACTACTTATATTTCACACATAAATTGAATACTACATATCTATGGATGTATTTTGTTTTTTTTTTTTAATAGAACAAAAATTGAATAAATATGTTACATTTGAGAATTTTAGCATTGTTTATTTTAATCTACACTCTAACCTAATACTTAATTTGTTTTCATAATAATGTATACTTTTTCATTTAAATTTGAAATAAAATAATAAAATAGTTTATTAACTTGATATTAATAATTATTAACACAAAATTTGATGAATTTATAAAGATGTAATTTGTTAAATGGATCATGTAATAAAATGAATAGAATCATGCATATTGTCCTATGCCAGAATATAAAAAATAACATAGATATGAAAATATCTATGTTAAAATATCTATGGATAAAATATTTTTGTCTGTCTTCACTCAGCGATAGTCACTAGTTCATGTGTGCACAACTATTATTCGTAGTACTCAAGTATTACCAATAAGAATGCTTAAATAACATAAAAAGTCTACTACTTGCTAATACTCTTATTCTAGCTTAGATATATATTTTTATTTAACTTGATTAATTCTTACTTCTGAATATATTATCGACACAGTTAATATTAGTTGCCGAGACTGACATACCCCATGATTTCATTGGAATATGTAACGAATCGTTCATTATATCTATACTTGCAATACCCCTGGTAAGTATTATATCATCATATTCTGGTAACTCTTGTCTAAAAAAAATAATCGACGCTAATATTATTTTAAATGTTTTAACCATAATATTATTGATCTATGCATTACAAACCTTATTCTCTTCATAAGTTCAATACCACGTTTTTTGGCTTTATACGATAATTGAACCATATCCAACGCATCTTTATCATCAAATAAAGCATCTGGCTGAAAATTTAAATACAATGTAAACACCAATATTTATATAAATGTTGAGTTATTTTTTACCATTGAACTGACATCAAGAGAAGAGCTTGTAGAACTATTAAATGCAGACAATGATTTATGCAAAAACGTAGGTGAACCATTATGTGCCGACATCTTATATTAACATAAAATACAATAAAATATTTTAATACTTTTAAAAATGTTTACAAAATATTATTAACTAACCAGAGTAGGCAACATGGCCAGCGATGAATTTGCTGATGAAGAAAGATTTTCATTCTTGGATGGTGGTGAATGATCTCTGGATGTCTACATAAAAATTAACCATCACATATAAAGTTGAATAAAAAATCAAATAAAATATACTTACAGCAGGTGGCTGTGGTAATTTATGCCAATCATCAATATGATCATAGAAATGTAAACTCTTTTGTTCCCAACCATCACTATCATCCTCTTGAGAAAATCCATCTCGGCCGTGAAAAGATGCTGACCTCAATACCGGATTACCAGAATTTTCAACACTTTTTCTATATTTGAAATTAATTATGAGAAAAATGTCAACACAAATTACTAAATAAATATATAACTAACTCTTTGGAAGATGATAAAGGTTTTTGATGATCTTTTTTCTTTCCTTGTGCGGCTGCTTTTAATGGGTCATAATTTTTACGTCGCTTCCAATTTTCCAATTCAGTTTCTTTATTTGGAGTTTGAACTTTGTTGCAAAGTATACTCGAGTTCCATTTTTTTTTTGATGATAAATTTTTACGAGCAGATAACAATGGTGACTAAAATAATAAAAAATGTTTTTTTTTTTAATTCTATGTTTTCTAAATAAATATAATTCTGCATACTGAATTTGGTTGAGGTACTCTCGATGTTCTTAAACTATAACGTCCACAGTCGACTCTTGACAAAGATGAACTTAAATTTTGGCTGGAAGGCTTGTATAAGTTAGATTTATCATTGGCAGTCTTGGAGTCAACACTTTTTTTATTTGTATCTTGTTGCAACTTTGTAAATCTATCACGACGCAAGCTAAAATAATTTAATGCTTTGTTAAAAATTGAAAATTTACATAAAAGAAAATAATGGATCATACTTAAAAGTTCGATTATATTGAATAGCAGTGTGACTAGTTTTTTCAACTTTAGCTTCTAGCATAGATACACAATTCTCAGCATCTTTTAAAAGTAATCTGGTGTCGTCATCACTGCCAATACTTTTAGTACTATTTTCCTACAATAATTAGATATTATGAAATACTTGTCATTGTTTAATAACATATTATATATTGACACGAAAGTATAAATTATAAGTTTAAATATATTCATTCCAATTATTCTAACAAACCATACACTTAAGTCTTTTATACTAGATGCATTTGGCAACGGAATATTTGATTTCCTTGTATGTTTCATTAAACTTGATGAATTAGGTTTAATGTCTAAGAAAAAAAAAAAATATTTTTATAAATTATTATTTAGACCAATTTAATTAAATTTAAACAGCCCTCTTACCTGATTTTAATAAAGGCATTGGGCTTGAAAGAGTTGATTTGTTTTGATTCAATTTTGAATGCCATTCATTGACCCAACTAGACCGTAGTTTCTAAAAAATGAATTATAAATTTAATTAAACTTAATTTATAAATCAAAAGTTATATTTATATTAAAAATAATTAAATTACCTTAACCATTGAATTTGATTTCTTAAAATCATCAACAATATCGTCACAATCTGATGATTGTTTAGATTTATTATCTTTAGATGTATCATTTCTCTCAATAATGTAGGTACCTGTACTACCAGTATCGCTATTGGAAGAGGAATCATCACAGTCATTGGATTCTAGGTAATTTTTATGGTCTGGACTAGAATAAGATATTCCATTGTCTATAGAAACAAAAAAAAATAAAAAATAAAATTATATTCTATTAATTGTTTAAAGTCCTTAAATGTTTTAATGATAAAAACAAATAAATATTAATCAAATTTTTATATTAAAATTACATTTAAATATCTGAGTTCACAGATAATTATCAACTTTTTAGTAATTTTATATTTTTAATAAACAAAATATTCTATAGTCTTAACATTTTTTTTTCATCTGAATTTCAATACATTTAAAAAAATACAATTTTAAATGTCATCAAATAAATATGTATACAGAATAAAAATGTATCTTTATAGTTTAACTAACACATTTATTGATATAAACTCACCTTTAGAATTAGACATTGTAGTTATAGACACAGTATCACCTTTTGTCTAAAATTAAAATTTTGAATCAATTTAAAGTATATATTTTAGTAGTTTATAAAATACAATAATACATTACCGTTGTTGACTGAAAAACACTGTTGACGGGTAATGATAGATTACGTTGATGTTTACGAACAAAGTTATTAATATTAGATTCATTTTCACCAGAATCTCTTGCGTTTTGCCCATTCAGTCTTGATGATGCTTGTATTGTTTGCTCTCTCCACTTATAATCAGAATTCATATTTTTTGTTTATAAAATCTATAAAAGGTATTATTAACTTCAATAATATGACTTAACATTGATATTATATATTTCTTTCTAATAACACTGTTATGTTTAAAATTAAAATATATAATTATTTAATTAGAATGTATGGAAAAATAAATGATCTAAAATATTATCGCCAATATTATACTTATTATTTTTACATGTCACAAGTTAAAAATCTAGTAAGTGTTTTTTAGTTAAATTAGATCTAGGTAAACAATAATGAATTCATAGTGGTATGCCACTATGTGCAATATACTCCTCAACTACTTTTCAAAATATTTATATTTCTAAATATATTCCTATCATTAATCTATTTGTATAAATTCTAAATCAAAACTGTTTGAACATTAGGCAAAGAATTATTATGATTATGGTAATAATTAGTAAACAATTAATAATAATTATAGAAAAATGTACTTGAGTCCGTCTAGTTCAATTATTATTATACATTAAAAATTATAATAATAATGAAAATACCTAGTATAAAGGTAGACAGTAATAAATTACTAACAATCTTAGTAAAATGTTTGTACAAAATGTGTAAATAGTTATTAATCTATTAAATTTTTTGAATCAACAAGTTTATTTTGATAAATGTATAATTTGTTTAAACTATTAAATAGTTATTTCCTTTAACTTTCTTAATATCCAATACCTACTTTTCTATATATTTTATAATTATTTACTGTTTAATTTCTATTAATTTAACAAATAAATAAAACTAGGTACACTTATTATGGAAAGGCTACCAAAATTTCTAAATATGTTTTCATTTGACAAAAAAATTAAAAATGTGATGCTGTTATAATTCCATGTGTTTTATGATATTAATTAAGTCATAACATTTGAATAGCAGCCCTTAAAAAAATGTATAACTATGCAAACTTAAATATTTTTTAAGTATATCTAGAGTCCAGTTACTTCATTAAATGTGTTTCAGTTTTTAGAGCATTTACATAATTAATAAAATCTACTTATATATTTTATATTAAGAGAAAATTAAAAATAAATAATAGTATGCAATTTAAACATAGAAAAAATAACCCATACAATTTATTTGTGAGTGATTTATGGTTAAACTGTTAGTTATTAAATTACATTATTAATATTTTCTTATTTATTTTGAACTAAAACAAAGTTAATTGACGTGAAACAGGAAACCTTGGAATGGTATAACTAACACATTTAGTAACTCATTATTATTATTTCTGTTACACTAAACACAGAAAAAACAAATAAATAATCCTATTAACTAAATATTTCATT